AAAGATAAGGATATTAGATTTTTTAATACAAAAATAAGCTAACATCGTGCGCTGCTTTATATTCACATCTATATCCAAGTGAACTCAAGTCAATTGTATTTGTATAGCCTTTGATCGCAGTTACTGTCTCCCAGGGCTTCACACATGATAAAACACCACCTCCAACTCCAAGCCCTTTTGAAGGACGAAAGAAAAAAAACTCCTCAAATCCAAGCGAACAAAAAAACCCCGAGAAGGAACACAGACACAATATATTCACAGTATTTCCGTCGGCAGTGTGCTGTGCTGTGTCTTTGTTTTTTGCGCCGGGGCGCAGAGTGCCTCGGCGTTTCTGCTTCGCCGGAGTCTCCATCTCCGTCTCGTTTCGGCGGGAGCTTAGTGGCCCTCCGAGTTTCGCCTCTGATGGCACCGGGGGACCTCCAGCTAGCGGCATCCACGGGTGGCCTTGTCCTCCTCCAAAGTGCAGAGGGGGGAGAGAGATGGGGGAGAGAGAGGATGGGAGGGTGGGTGGGTGGGTGAGGGAGATTAGTGCCTAGCGACAGGACAGATGCCGTGTGTGCGAATCCCACGTGAGCCCGGCTGAGCCGCTAGCGGAGTCGGTATCAAGCCACTTAACCTGACAGCACCACCCCTCTGTCTCCCCGAACACGTGTTATGTAAGAAGAGCGTCTCCTTATGAATATGCCAATACACGAGGGGGGGGTGGGGGCGGACTTAGAAAGGGCGCTCACTCATTTTGTTACGCAATAGACCAAAGGGAAGGCGCTTGACTATCCAAGACGGCCGAGGTTGCAGATGTGGTTTGACTCACAATCAAGTTCAACGCGATATAAAATATGCGTTGTTTGAACTTCGGCTACCTTCCTCCTCGTGTCTATATCCGTGTTCTTATTTATTCATATGTATGCGTTTGTGTGTGTTGTATGTGAATGCGTACGTGTTGCACGCGTGTTTCAGTGGTGAAGTTAAAAGCGAGTATAGGGCCAACTCTAGACGATGTAGAAAAGATGCTCTTGGCGTAGGACCTCAACTGTCTTAAAGACAACTGTCTTTAGGAATCAGGCTTTTGTTTAGCACCCAAAACATCCCCACATGCGCACACACCCACACCCACGCCCACACCCACGCCCACACCCACACCCACGTCTACAAGGCCTCTCTGCATCAGTTGAAAAGAGACGTGGAGATCTACGGCTGCGTTGTGAGGAGTTATTATCGGTTCAATAAGCTCCCGCATTACCGAGGTTCTCCGGACTTAATCGTTTGCCGTCACTGATAGATGATTTTCCTGCCTGTTTCAGTGGCTGGGCTTCGGAAAGCAGTCAGTGCTTTTGTCCAAACTGTCTCGCTCTCTGTCTTCCATCCGTTACTCTTCCTCCTCATTTAATCTCCCTCTCTCTCTCTCTCTCTCTCTCTCTCTCTCTCTCTTCCCTCCGCTGTCTCTCTATCTCTGTCTCTGTCTCTCTCTCTCTGTCTCTGTTTCTCTCTCTGTCTGTGTTTAACTCTCACTCTCTAACTCTCTCTGCCCTTGTTCTGTCTCTGTCTCTTTCTCTCTCTCTCTCTCTCTCTCTCGCTCTGTCCTACTCTGCCCTTCTCTATCCCCCAGACTCTCTCACTCTATCCTTTTTCACTATTTACTTCAATATCTTTCTCGCTCTCCCTCCCTATCATGCTCTCTCTCACTTTTGCTCTTTCGTTATTTATCTCTATATGCCTCTTTCATCCCCCCTCTCCCTCCCTCTCTCGCTCTCTCTCTCGCTGTGTAAATCGATGTCGTTTTCCCAGCCCCTCTCTCGGGTTCCAGTATTGGCATGTGCTGTGAAACGGTGGCGTCCCGGTCCCTATCCACCCCCCCCCTCCCCCCCACCCCCGCACCGGGCGACAGTCTGTCTGCCGCGCCCATTTACACCCCCTCCAACCCCCCTGGCAAATACCCTCCAAAACCCCCTCTATTTCTCCATCCATCTCCCCATCCACCCCCTCCTCCTCCCCTCCACCTCCCACTCCGCCTCCCGCTCCACCTCTCCTCCACCCCTCCATCATCCCCTTCCTCCTCCCACTCCGCCTCCCGCTCCACCTCCCCTACACTCCTCCATCCTGCCCTCACCCTCCCCCTCCCTTCCACCTCCCAGTCCACCTCCCACTGCACCTCCCGCTCCACCCCTCCAACCACCTCCCCTCCACCCCTCCATCCTCCCCTCCACCCTCCCCTCACCATCCCCTTCCACCTCCCCTCCACCTCCTCCTCCCCTCCACCCCCCTCCACCTCGCCCTCCCCCTCCTCGTCCCCTCCACCTCCCGCTCCACCTCCCCTCCAACTCCCGCTCCACCTCCCCCTCCACCCCTCCAACCACCTCCCCCTCCACCTCCCGCTCCACCCCTCCAACCACCTCCCCTCCACCCTCCCCCGCCCCTCCCCCCCTCCCATCCACATCTCCCCCATCAAAATCCCTCCGCGACCCCTCCTAACCCCGCCTCCTCACCCCCCCCCCCCCTTGTTACTCCTCTCATTCCTGGCATCCCCAGACGTACAGATAACAGATAAGAGCGGCGGTAACCGTATACAGTAGTGTAAGTTCCAGTAGTGTGTGTGATATGTGAGCCACAGGCAGGCGAAGGACATCAGCAAACGTTCCAGGAATTGCATCCATATGTAAATATATGTATATGCAAATGGCCGTTTGTGTCGGTGCGGTGTGTGCACTTTTTGTACGATTGAACACTACTTTGCCGCGCGGCGGCGGCGGCGGCTTGGCATCGCTATCGATATAATGCTGAGCGATACGGCACGCGGCCGACGCACGCATTGTTTGTGTTGTGTGTGTGTGTGTGTGCAGTGCTGTTGAAGTGCTTATTATTCACTAGCACCGCCGCTAGCCGCCGGATGCTACACCTGCATGCATTCGGGCCGCTATAGGTGTACTCCATTAAAACTATCCTGATTAGGGTAAGAGGGGAAGTCACTTACGGTCCTCACGGTAACGGCAGGTGCGGCGGTAAAGCAATTACCGCCCCCAAAAAATCATATTACGCGATTAGGGGCGGCGTGTATCTGTAGCGGTCTGTAGCCGGCGCATCGGTGCGGTAATAAAGTGCGCTGGGACGCGTGCGCTTCACTCCGAGGTGAAATTAGGTTAGACGTGCCATGGGCCAAGTGCATCATGTGCGTGTGTGCGTCTTATGTATATTGGTACGGAAGAAACTAATCCATGTATTGATTATCTGGAAAACAAGATGACGGAAATGCAGTTGCTTTATCAGACTACACAGTACATGGGATAGGATGAGGGTTGGGGGTTAGATTCCCAGCTGACATACTGGGTTCTATCGCCCCAATGTCTGTGGTCGTCCTAAAAAGTAAGTAAGTAGGAAGTAAGTAAAGCTTTATTTATATAACACACAGTTACAAAGTGCTTCACACACACCAATATAAATGATAAATGAAATAAGCAAATAAGGTAAACATAAATTACAATTAAAAAAAACAGAAAAAGAGACAGACCAAAGTAAAACAAACCAAAAGATAAGACAGGGATGGAGACCTATAGAAAGGCTTGCCTATAAAACTGGGTTTTAAGACGCTGCTTAATACAGTCCAAAGACTCAGCAAATCTGATAGATTGGGGAAGATGACCTTTTGGTAATTGGAGTGAAGGATGGATAAAAGGCCGAGATTTGAGGATCGGAGCGCTCGAAAAGTGGACTGAATAATGAGGACATCAGAAATGTTGGGGCGAGGTCATGCAGGGCCTTATAAATTTATATGTAATCAACAGGATCTTGGAGTTTATTCTGAATTTTACAGGAAGCCAACGGAGGGATGCTAGATGCCTGAACCCCTATCTGCTAATGTCATATGTCATATGACATGACGTATATGAATTCACTTTGGATAAAAGCTTCTGCTAAATGACTGAATGAATGCATTGTGGGGGGAGAGACACAATGTGATGCGGCCGAGGTTCCTTCCCACCGCCAGAGTAGATTATTTTCCACCTGCGTTGTATTTAATCTTGGATTTGTAGCGCATTGATTCAGAACTGTTAAAAGACAGCCGGTGTCCCGTTATTGAAAAATAATGCGCACACTTGTAATGTTATTGAGTATTTAACAATGCTGCGGTATTCGCATCGATAGTGTCTAGATACCGAGTGTGGGGATATATAATACCTGGTGCCTTTGGCGGATGCTTTTATTGTACGTGTCCACAATACCTTGAGTGCATGCGTTCTTAGCAGGGGTGGCCCCTGCAGCGTCGTTAGGCCCGGGTGTCAGGGGGTACAGCCTTGAATGTTGTATTAATAGCCCCAGATCTAAAAAATAAATAGAAATAATAATAATAAGAAGAAAATTGCCCCGGATCTCTTCATCTGTCATTCCGATCATGTATTAAAGCCCTTGAAAATAATATATCGTTGATCAAAAATGCTACTTTTGGGTCCTCTGTGTATAATCATCTACTTTATACGATTTGGCACGCGCGCATTTTGTGTGAGCGCACACGTTGGAGAGAGACAGAGAGAGAGAGAGAGAGAGAGAGAGAGAGCACACCGGACACAGGACTTGTTATTGCACTACACTGCATGAACTGTATCTGAAAATTGTTTGTGTGTGTGTGTGTGTGTGTGTGTGTGTGTGTGTGTGTGTGTGTGTGTGTGTGTGTGTGTGAGTGTGAGTGAAAGAAAATGTAATATTCCAATAAACTAATGTACACATGAATAGGGGCCTACATTTTAGATGGGTACTGTAGCATGTCAATAAATGTTTAATGAGCAGTCGTGAAGTATTCTGCTTCTCAATCCTAAAACTAATTACTGACAACTTTTTAACACCACAATTCATAATTAATCTGGAAAGTAAGCAACAGTTTTTGAGGTATAGGCAGAGTGCATACAAAAGCATCAACTTGGTCTTGTTTATAGAAAACAAATTGCGGGGGAGGATCCCCCCGGACCCCCCTACCTAACCCAATGTCCTCAAATCCTAGGAACGCCCCTGGTTAGCCCTAGTGGGGGATCCAAACCCCTAACCCTGGCATTGTTAATGCCTTGCTCTACCAGCTGAGCTACACAGGGAATCGAACCCCTTACCCTGGCAGTGTTAACGCTTTGCTCTACCTGTTAAGCTAGACAGGGAATCGAACCCCTTACCCTGGCAGTGTTAACGCCTTGCTCTGCCTGTTAAGCTAGACAGGGAATCGAACCCCTTACCATGGCAGGTGTTAAAGCCTTGCTCTACCTGAAGAGCTAGACAGGGAAGTCTATGTCACTATCTCAGTGATCAATAAAACTGTCAGTCAAACAGATAGGCAGGCAACAAAATGTTCAATGCAATTGTTTATTATACAATAAATTGTGCTCTCTGCTCTCACTGCTCCAAAAGCAATTTGGCAACAGAAATAAAAAAAACATGTGCTCCAAATATTAACAAAAAGCGGTGTCGAGAGTGTGTGTATGTTCATCTATGTTTGTGTGTATGTGTGTGTGTGTGTGTGTGTGTGTGTGTGTGACACTGGGGATCAATTCGTCTCCGTCCTCACCCTCCGCCATTCTTTCCATCAAGTCAACTCAAGCTTGCGTGTCTGTATTCCCCTGCAGCAGACAAGTGCCAGGGTTGGTAAGTGATGTCACAGGCATATGGAAGTGCTTCTGTCGGCTACACACCCAGGTGCGTGTATGGCTGCGGCGGCGGCGGTGGCGGCGGTGGTGGCGGCGGCGGCGGCGGCGGCGGCAGCATCACTTACTGATCCTAAGCAGTTTTATTTCAGACCGCAGCAGAACAGCTCTGCTGCGCTTGAGCTTCAAGAAATGCTTGGGAAAATGTAGCTTGCGTTTGGACGCTACCGCAATACTTCAATAAATAAAATTCATCAATAGAAGAGCTTCGCTACTGAAAAGCTATTTGATTCAGAAAACAGCGACGCTACACCACCACGCTACCGAGAAATGTAGTTAAACGAGTAACTTATGCCGTCTTTCCACTGGTAGTACCAGCTCGTCTCGCCTTAGCGCGGCTTTTTTGCCTTTCCATTGCCGATATCTGGTACCTGGTACCTGCTAACTGGTGCTTTTTTTAGTATCACCTCCGTATAAGTTCCAACCGAGCTGAGCTGATACTTTTGTGTGACGTAAGCTGGCAGCCGGCCACTGATTGGACAGAGACTTGACGACTCATGATGGAGCGCGACGTCCGAGCCTGACACCCACTACCTTTAAATACTAGCGCCTCGTTTCAGCGATTACTGACCAACATGGAAGGAACAACGCGCACTGGGAATCGAACCCCTAACCCCGGCGGTGTTAGTGCCTTGCTCTGCCGGTTGAGCTACACTGGGAATCGAACCCCTAACCCCGGCGGTGTTAGTGCCTTGCTCTACCGGTTGAGCTACACTGGGAATCGGACCCCTAACCCCGGCGGTGTTAGTGCCTTGCTCTACCGGTTGAGCTACACTGGGAATCGAACCCCTAACCCCGGCGGTGTTAGTGCCTTGCTCTACCGGTTGAGCTACACTGGGAATCGGACCCCCCATCCCTGGCAGTGTTAGTGCCTTGCTCTATACCTGTTGAGCTACACTGGGAATCGGACCCCCCATCCCTGGCAGTGTTAGTGCCTTGCTCTATACCTGTTGAGCTACACTGGGAGTCGAACCCCCTTACCGTGGCAGTGTTAATAATACGTTAACGTCTTGCTCTGCCTGTTGAGCTAGACAGGGAACTGCGCTCCACAGGGAAATCGAACCCCCATCCCCGGCAGTGCTGATGCCTTGCTCTGCCACTGAGCTTACATGGGACCACACAGAGCGCGGTGCACACAGCTGTTCCCTGGGGGAGTTGTGTATGTGACATGCGGCTGAGAAGCGACGCGTGCGTCTGCATGTGTTTGAGAAAACAAAGACATTTTAAAATCACCCACAGGGCGAGTCGACAAATGATTGTTCCTCCGGCTCCCTGCACCTCCTCCTCCTCCTCCCGGCTCCGAGGAGGAGGAGACGCGGACGAGGACGCGCGAGAAATATCTCCCCGTCTCTCGCTCGCTTTATCACTCTCGCTCTGTCTACCGCTCTCTCTCTCTCTATCGCTCTCTCTCTCTCTCTCCCTCCATCTCCCTCTCCTGCTCTCTCTCTCTCTCTCTCCATCTCCCTCTCCTGCTCTCTCTCCCTCTCCTGCTCTCTCTCTCCCTCTCCTGCTCTCTCTCTCTCTCTCTCTTTCTCTCTTCTCTCTCTCTCTCTTCCTCTACCTCTCTCTCTCTCTCTCTCTCTCTCTCTCTCTCTCTCTTCCTCTCTCTCTCTCTCTCTCTCTCTCTCTCTCTCTCTCTCTCTCTCTCTATCCCCCTCTCCCTCTCCCTCTCCTGCTCTCCCTCTCCCTCTCTCTCTCTCTCGCGCGCTCTCCCGCTCGCATTGTCTGACAGTGAAAGAAAACGATCGCCACCTGAATTATGGATGAGACTTACAAGCCATTGATAACCTGTTCCGTACACAATCTCCACAATCCGTATCAGAATGAATGGGTCTGAGAGATTGGAGGTTTTGGGAGACTGGGGGTGAATATAGTGCGGGTTCTGTGTCGATTCTGCTGTGGATAGTGTAGATATGTGCGGATATATATTCGTAATATATTCGAGTACGGCAGACATTAAAGGAATCGCATAATGATAACGACGATAATAACGCGCCCGTGTCACGCTTATCGTATACGTCTTTACCATTTGTTGTTTGCCGACGTCCCCGTATTCATATTTTGATAGCTACCCATCATCGCGGTTTATGGACTTTATACAACCGCCACAATGCATACGTTTAGGCAGTGAGCAAATCAATGCTGCTTTGGTTGCCAGTGAAATATCAAAACAACAAAAAATACTGTACCTAAAAAAAAACATCTGTTGATGACCATTTGGAGACATTGACGGTGTTATTTTGTATAGGTTCTTTCTTTTCCGTTAATAAAAGCACTAGATAACTGAAATGTGTTTAGTATTGTTGTGAGAAAACAAATTACCTATTTCAGAGAGCCGGCACGGTCACCTGAATGGACGGAAACGACTTGTCATTTCTGACAAGGAAGGGCCTGGGCTGTACCAGTCGCCATTGGTGAGCGAATGACAATAGACTATGCTGTGTTAATCCGCCTTGATGCAGGCGCCGCGTCCTCCAGCCCTGCCTCCATCCTGCTTTCTAAAGACGCTGACCCAAATATCCTCGCTGGGCCACAGCTATTGGCAGCCTGAGAGCCACAAACTCATTCATACTGCAGCTCTGATCAATCTGGCCTGTGTGTTTGTTTGCCTTGCCACACACACACACACACACACACACACACACACATACACACACACACATGCGCTTATTGTGCATGTGCGTACGCAATCATGCACACACACGGACACACACACACACACACACAGGATTTTGCTTTCTTTTTCTCTCTCCCACTATATTTTTCACAAGCTCAGCAAGCTCAACACAGTAGTTTTTCAGCAAGGCTCTCTCTCTCTCTCTCGCACTCTCGCTCAAATCTCAGAAACACACAAAGAGACACACAAACCGGAATACACAAAACACACACGCACACACACACACACACACACACACACACACACAGACATTAATGTGAGACAATACATATTCATAGCGCCACTTAGAGTCTGTCTGTCCTTTAATCCATAGCGCCCCCATAGGGAAGGGGCATACGGCTCTCCTCCAATCAGCTGAAGAGTAATTACGCATCCTTAATGAAGATTAGATTTAAGATTTAACCTCGATGCCACACGTGGAGCGGCGTGTGAATCGATCGTATCGATCCGATATCGGTGTGCGCGTCCGGTGCCGAGCCACCCGGCACCGACCGACACACGGCGGGAATATTTGGATATTTGCGGGTCAACATATCGACAAGACGTCTGCACACACACATCAAATTCTGTAAAACGGCGGTGGTGGCGTCGTCGTCGTCATCGTCGTCGTCGTCGTCGTCGTCATCATCATCATCATCATCATCATCATCATTGTCCTCGTCATCGTTGCACTGTTTAGTTCAGAGTGTGTTGCAGGACAGTGACGGATAGCTCCTGTGGAAGCTATTGCTTCTCATATTCCCGCGTGATGGATGAACCATCCGCCGCGTTTGGCAAGCCGCTTATTTGTCTGACATGTAATGTATTCTCTTAAGGGGACCGCTGGGAGCTCACGCTGTGTAATCAGTATTAATGCAGGCCGCCTCTAATTGATCACTTAAAGATTTGTAGGGAGATCAATATGTTCCCCTATGCCTGGCGTGTTGGGTGTGAACCGTAATAGTTTGACTGATGACCTTGGATTGTCTCGGCTGTTCTCCCCTGCCAAGTCATTATTGAGTCAATGTTAGTCTTTCTGATGCTTGCTCGTGTGATTAGAAACACGGTTACATTCATGTATTCATACTTTGCTCGGTACCTCTCTGTTTGTTTTCAAATAAATGAGTAAAATGTCATAGCGATGGATCATACCATTAGAATCATTATACTCATTAATAATAATGAGGTTTGACCTACTCTCCTTTTTGCTAATTTGATTCCTTATTGTTTCAGGGTGGACCGTACAGCATTTCCAGATTCGAGGACCCAAACCAAACGCGCACGACAGGGACGAGATTAACGCCCGACGCCATGGCAACCATAAGCGTGGTTGAACTGCGGACCTGGCTTCTGCTGCTCCCCCTCTGCCTGACTGTGTGGGCGGAGATGTGGCAGCTCGCCGCCGCCACGATACAGGGCTACATCGGCGACCGGGACATGATATGCCCGTCGGTGTGCCGATGCGACGAGGACTTCATCTACTGCAACGACCGTGGCCTGAGCGCCATCCCGCCGCTGCCCTCATACGCGTCGGTCCTGTACCTCCAGAACAACCAGGTCAACAACCCGGGCCTGCCCGCCTCCCTGGAGCACCACCTCACGGTTCGGGTGGTCTACCTGTACGACAACGAGCTGGATGACTTCCCCGTGCACCTGCCCCCCTCCCTGCGCGAGCTGCACCTGCAGGACAACAACATCCGCACGGTGCCCCGCAGCGCGCTGGCCCGCATGCCCCTCCTGGAGAGACTTCACCTGGACGATAACTCCATCTCTACCGTCAGCATCGAGGACCAGGCGTTCGCCGACAACCCCCGCTTGCGTCTGCTCTTCCTCTCCCGCAACCACCTGTCCAGCATCCCCTCGGGGCTGCCGGCCTCACTGGAGGAGCTGCGTCTGGACGACAACCGCATTTCCACCATCCCCACGCACGCCTTCCGCGGCCTCTCGTCGCTGCGCTCCCTGGTCCTGGACGGCAACCTGCTGGCCAACCAGCGCATCGCCGACGACACCTTCTCCCGCCTGGCCAACCTGACGGAGCTGTCCCTCGTCCGCAACTCCCTGCAGACGCCGCCCATAAACCTGCCCACCGCCCACCTGCAGCGTCTCTCCCTGCAGGACAACGCACTGACCCACGTGCCCCGGGGGTCCCTGGATGGCATGCGCGGGCTGCAGAGGCTCGACCTGTCAGGAAACAACCTGACCACGCTGCCCCGGGGCCTGTTCAGAGACCTGGACAACCTGGCGCAACTGCTGGTACGAGGGAATCCCTGGCACTGCGGCTGCAACCTGCGCTGGCTGTATGACTGGCTGCTTGCCCGGGGGAACGCCATCACCGTCAGGGGCCTCACTTGCCACGGGCCAGAGAGGGCGCGAGACATGGCTCTGGTGGAGCTGGGTGGCCAGATGGAGGAGTGTGAGGTGGTGAGGACCACCGGGAACAGAGACAGAGCAGGTGGCGCCGGAGGTCCTATGGACAGCTCGACCACGCTCTCCCCGCCGCAAGGCTCCCTCTTCACCCTGCGCTCCAAGAGACCTGGCCTGGGCCTCCCGGACTCGGGGCTGGACTACACCCTGGGCAGCAGCGGAGTAGGGAAGAGCCTGGCCCTCAACGTCAAGCCCCTCTCCCATGACAGCGTCCGTGTGACGTGGAGCGTGGCCCAGCCCAGCTCCTCCTTCCGGCTGAGCTGGCTCCGACTGGGCACCGGCAACACCATGGGCTCCATCACCGAGACCCTGGTCAGGGGGGACCGGCGGGAGTACCTTCTCACCTCTCTGCAGCCCCGGTCCGACTACATCATCTGCATGGCCCCCCTGGTCTCCAGCTCCGAGAGCAAGGGCTCCGGGCCACCGGCAAACAGCGAGACGGACGAGGCGCTGGTGTGCGCCAAGGCAGAGACGTCAGAGCTCAGCCAGGTGGACGGGAGCCAGGGCGAGGATGAGGGCTCGCAGCAGATGGCCGCCTTGCCCCTCGCGGGGATCATCAGCGGGGCCGCCGCCCTCGTCTTCCTGGCTCTGGTTTTCGCCGTGTTCTGCTGGTACGGACACCGGAAAGGACACCTGTCCTCCCGCGACCACTACACACGGAACAGCTCGCGGAAGAGCAAGAGCTACGACGACTACATCGAGTCGGGCACCAAGAAGGACAACACCATCCTTGAGATCCGAGGGCCCGGCTTCCAGATGACGCCCATGCCCATGCCCATGCCCGCCGGCCAGCCCACGCCGGCCAAGCCCCTGCGGGAGGACTACATAGTCCACACCATATTCCCGCCCTCCAACGGCACTGGCCTCTACAAGGCTGCCAACCACCCGGCCGACCCGGGTTATGGCACCAACCGGGGCTATCGAGAAGGCGGCATACCGGACGTGGACTACTGTTACACATGATGCACCGGCTCTCATCGTAGGCTCGCTGTATCTGGAGAGAACTGTATCGACGCACAACAATGTTCGCTTCCCAT